GGTGATAAATTACATAAAATGTTGGATGTTCTAGCTATTTATAGAAATATAATCAAACACACTTCACCAACAACAACCACAATTCACCTAAAACTCAACCACAATTTAACTACCAAAGAAAAATGGAAGAAAAGGTGAAAGAAGATAGGAAATTTGAGAGAAAATGTGAAATTTTCGGACAAAATCCGAGAGGGTATTTTTCCGCGCGCATTCGCGCACGTTTCGGTCGGCTTTGCTTCTCGGGCTCGTTTTGGGCTCGTCCGAACTCGGAATTGAGTGCCGTTTTTTTCTATGCGTCGCTAACGAACCCCTCTATTCAATGATGTATGCCAATATAAATGTCTCCCAGAATACAATTATCTAGGGATTTTTAACTTCTAAGGTGTCGGCAACTTGCTCGATTTTACGCTTTGGTCCCGTACGAACTCATCCGAACTCGAAATTAAGTTCCGCTTTTTCCTGTGTGTAGCTAACGAGCTCCTCTATCCAATAATGCTTGAAAATCACACTATTGCTCAGAGTACAAATTATGTGGAATTTCTAACCTTTAAAGGGTCGGTAACTTGCGCGGCTTCGCATTTTGATTCCGTCCGGATTCATCCGAACTCGAAACCAAATTCCGTTTTTTCCTATGTGTAGCCAATGAGTCCATCTACATAACCATGATTGCCCGATCTATGTCATTACCTCACGATGCCTCCGACCTGCACACGAAAAACAAGAAGAAAAACGGGAAAAACACACGAAAAACATAAAGAAAACCAAAATGGAACAAAACACATAATAAAACACAAAATGAACTAAAAACTCACAAAATGACCTAAAACGAGGAAAAATAAAGGGAAAAGAAGAACAAAAATATAACGAAAAATACAACAAAAATATTACAAACAGTCACCTGGGGCGAATATGTTCAAGGTCATGCGGGTCGATCAGAAGCTTTAAGGCTAGATCATCCGGGGCAAACTTTTTCTTTATTAAAGTCACGCGGGTCGATCAGAGGCCTTAGGGCTAGATCATCCGGGAAAAGAAGGTTCAAGGCCACGCGGGTCGATCAGAAGCCTTAGGGCTAGATCGTCCGGGGTAAGAAGGTTCAAGGCCACGCGGGTCGATCACAAGCCTTA